AAAGAAAGAAAGAGAGAGAGAAAGGAAAGAAAGGAAGAAAGAAAGAAAGAAAGAAAGGAAGGCTGCTGGGAACAGGCAGAGATTATGCAGGAATTAGAAAAACTTCCCAAGACTTTTTTTAGCTATCATTTATAACCAACGGTGCAACTATAAAACAATTAACCAAGGCCAGGTACGATGGTTCATGCCTCTAATTCTAGCATTTTGGGATGCGGAGGCAGGCTGATCACTTGAAGTCAGGCCAAAATGGAGAAACTCCGCCTCTACTAAAAATACAAAAATTAGCTGGGTGTGGTGGGACACGCCTGCAATCCCAGCTCCTCGGGAGACTGAGGCATAAGAACTGCTTGAATCCAGATGGAAGATTCAGTTAGCCAAGACCATGCCACTGCACTCCAGCCTGGGCAACAGAGTAAGACCTTGCCTGAAAACCAAACCAAACCAAACCAAAATTAACTAGTTACTGTTATTTAAGAAAGAAAGAAAAAGAAAAAGAAAAAGAAAAAAGAAAAGAAAAGAAAAAGAAAAAAGAAAAGAAAAGAAAAGAAAAGAAAAGAAAAGAAAAGAAAAGAAAAGAAAAGAAAAGAAAGAAAGAGAGAGAGGGGGAAGGAAGGAAGGAAGGAAGGAGGAAGGAAGGAAGGAAGGAAGGAAGGAAGGAAGGAAGGAAGGAAGGAAGGAAGGAAGGAGAAAGAAAATAGAAAGGAAGAAAGGAAGGAAGGAAGGGAGGGAGGGAGGAAGGAAGGAAAAAAGAAAGAAAGAAAAAAGAAAGAAAAAAGAAAGAAAAAGAAAGAAAGAAAAAAGGAAAGAAAAGAAAAAAGAAAAGAAAAGAAAAGAAAGAAAAGAAAAGAAAAGAAAGAAGGAAAGAAGATCTGTATTTTATATACATACACAAAGTTCTTGCAGGGTAAAATGTAGTAGCAGAAAGGAAAAGCTCAATAGACAGGCTGGACAATAAAGTTCAGGGTATTTCCCAGAAAGTAAAGCAAAAGACAAGGAGGAAGAAAACAAGTATGAAAATTAGATGGCTAGTCTGGGAACAGGAATTCCAAAAGGAGAACAGAGAAAATAGAAGGCAGGAAATAAGAAATAATTAATGAAATAATTCAAGAAACGTTCCTACAAGCACAGAACAAGTCTCCAGATTATCATTATATTCCCAATACGATGGCTAAAATTGGTTCGTATGGCAATAAAATTTCAGAACACTGGGCATAAAAAGAATCCTACTTGTTTCTGGAGAGGCGGGGAAAGAACAGGTTACAGAAAAAGTTCAGAAACTGGTCTGGGGGCAGTGGCTCATGCCTGTAATCCCAGCACTTTGGGAGGTTATGGTAGGAGGATTGCTTGAGGCCAGGAAATTGAAATCAGTGTAGATCAGCATAGCACACCTGTCTCTACAAAAAAATAGCAAAATTAGCCAGGCATGATAACACAGGCCTTAGACTTGGCTACTCAGGAGGCTGACGCAGGAGGATGGCTCAAGCTCAGGAGTTTGAGGCTGCAGTGTGATCATGCCAGTGTACTCCAGCCTGGGTGACACAGTGAGACCCTGTCTCTAAAAGGGA